GCAGGTCTTCTAATGAAGAGGAAAGCTTAACTCCTCTTACGTGGACTAGCACATGATGAATGCTTTTTATCATAAAGTCTGAGTCGAGGCTACACAAGTGGTTTGCTTACTAAATTATATGGAGGCTTTTAAATTAATATTGCAAAAATGTTCTGTAATGGGAACAAATGGCATAAAGTGCCTAACAGGTTAGTGGACGAGCACTGCAGGAGTTCACAGGGCAGTGACAGAAAATGCCCACCTGACATCTTGATGGAATCTGCAAATTTTCTAGACTAAAGAAGCTTTTATAGCTTTAATCACCTTCCCGCGAAGGGTAAGGATGCTTTTCACATTTCTATTTATTGTTGTTTAGGAACAAAAACAATTTGAATAAGTGACATGAGTCAGTGCCGGGCTTTAAAAAGATGGCACCCGTTTATCCGTTATCCTGACAGTGGGGTGGAGTGGTGGTGAAGGGGGAGAGTCTTGGCTAATTTTAGTTTGTGTACAATGGGCGCAGCTCATCCACGCAACAGTGCATCCTGGATTCTCTGGGTGACGTGGAAAATCTTTCAGGCCTCGCTCCTCCATCGGTAGTGATGGGTGGTCCAGCTGACAAGGATTAACACTCCAACTCCTTGAGATGCTTTAGGTGAGACAGCCGGGGCCCTGCATAGATGGGCAGTGGTCTCCTGCCTCAAACCCCAGCCGAGGACCGGCCAAGCGAGGAAAGGCAAAGGAGAAGAGAGAGTCCAGAAATACATCCATAAATACACAACTGGTTTCTGACAAAGGAACTCAGACTCTTCATTGGAGAGTGAAAAGTATTTTCAACAAATGATGATGGAACAAGTGAGTATCCATTTGGAAAAGTAATAAACCTTGACCACTCTTTCACATCAAAAATATCAACCTGAGATAAATCATAGCCCCAAATGTTAAAAACTGAAGCTATAAAGCTTCTAGAAAAAAAACAAAGGAGAATGTTTCTGCAATCTTGGAGCAGGTAAAAATATCTCACAGTCACAAAAAACACTAAACATAAAAGAAAAAATGACAAATTGATCTTCAAAAATGTTTAAAATGTCTGCTCATAAAATGACACTATTAAGGAAAAGGCAAAACATTAAACGGGAAAAAATATATCCAATACATGTATCTGAAAAAAGAACTTTTAGCCATAAAAAATAAAGAAGTACAAATCAATATCGAAAAGGCAAACAATCCAACATGAAAGAAGGCAGACACTTGAACAGAGACTTCGCAAAAGAAGATACGCAACAGACCTACAAATACATGGAAAGGGACTCAGCGTCATTGGTCCTGAGAGAAATGCAAACTAAAACTACAAGAAGACACCACTTCATCGCCACTGAAATCGCTAAAAGAAGACAATACCAAATGTTGGCAGAATGTGGAATAACCAGACAAACAAACTGAGGTTTGTGGGGTGCGAAGATGGGGTTCGACTCAGCAGCAGAGGGAGGAGCTGAGAGAACAAGGACGAGAGTCAAAGACGTGATGCTGACTGAACGGAGCCGGCACGAAAGAGATTCACTACTGCACGATTCCACTTGCACGGACTCGAAAACAGATAAAACTAATTGATGGTGATAGAAATCAGAACGATGATTTCTTCTGGGGTGGAAAAAAAAGGGAACTGACTAGAAGGTGGCAAAAGAGAATTTGCTGGGGTGATTAAAATGTTCTATGTCTTTATTAGGGTGGTTACATGAGTGTATATACTTGGTAGAATTTATTAAACTGTATGCTTAAGATCTATAAATTTTACTTCAAAAACAAAACCCCGTGTTATATAGAAAAACAATATTACCAATATAGTCTTCCTACAAAGTTTTTAAAAAAGTTTTATTACTGATTTGATACCCTAATAAAATTATTTTTATTTTACAGTCTTCTGAACCTCACAGCCTCTTATTTATATATAGTATTCTATGTCTATATAAAGAAAAATAATGACCCAATTCTGCAACAATTTACGACAGTTATAGTTTACTTATTTTAAAGTCATAGTGCGCCTTCATATTGAGATTACTTTATCAGGACCAGAGGATATTTTTTTCTATTTGTAAGCCCTGGATAACTTATTTTAAACAGCTAACCACTGGTAACACCCATTTAAAATACTTTTTTTCCCCCCAGTTATTTTTGCTTCTTCAGCTTTTACCTAAACAATTTTTCTTTTATTTGTTTCATGTCTGTAATAAAGCAGTTTTTTGGGAGAAATACATATTTTATATAAATATACTATATAACTTGCCTTTTCAGACTGACTTGAATATCATTCTTAAAAACAAACACACAGTTAAGCATCTTGTGTTAAAGAATGCTTTTTAAATAATCTGGGATTTGATTATTTAAACCAGTTATATGAATTTAAGTTAAGTTGTTTAATTTCATTAAGACTCAATTTCTAAAATTAAAAACATTGTATTGACAGCTATTTCACAGCTTTAAGAGGGGCGGGAGGTGGGAGCTACCCCCCTACAGCTAATAAGGGGTGCTCTGACTGCAGAAAATTAAAAAAAAAAAATTATAAAGCCGCGTGCAGACAATTCTAAAACATGTAAGTGATAAAATACCTGTCCCATGGGGCAAACCATTTTCATTGACACTACAAATGACAAGTCAAAGCAACATGGTCAGACGGCCGTCTCTGCGGGCGTGAAGGAACGAAGAAGGAACGAGAATGCAGTCAGTCTTTCACCCAGCTATGGCCCAGAACAGGGAACCTTTATTGAATATTTTCTGTGTGCCTGGCTCCATACTAAAACACATTAATCATTTAAGCCTTGCAACAATTCTGTGAAGCAGATACTACCGTCACCATTTAAATGGAGGAAACTGATTGAGAGGTCAGTACACTCACTGAGGCAGCAGCCAGTGAGGGGTGGAACCAGGGGCACACTGGCAGTCACCCCAACACGTGCCTTTGAGCCGTGCAGCCGCACTACTGTTTCTGAGCTTCGAAGCCTTCCCGGGAGCTTTAAAAGGTGATTGGGAAGAGACCGGGAGGGTCAGAAAGGGGGGCTCTCGATTTAAAACAGTCTGCTTTGGAGAATTCAGATCCTCCAGCTCAATTCACAGCAGTAGAAGAAATAGGAACAATTAAAAGGGCAGAGCCTCCAGCTTTATTCCTATTTAGAAATAAACTACAGTCTAATTTCCCACTGTCCAGGAAATAAAGAGCAGACTTGCCCAAAACAGTGTGCTTAGCTGCCTAAAAGTGCTGTGGTATGTGTATGTGTGAGTGTGTGTGTGTGTGTGTGTGTGTCCGCATGTGCGCGTGCACGTGCATGTGTGCATGTGTGCATGTGTGCGTGTGGATGTGTGTGCATGTGTGTGCGTGTACGCACGCATGCATGCATGCATGTGTGCGTGTGTGCGCACACCCAGCTCCTCTCAGGCACTCTACAAGCAAGCGCGGCATTTCCTCACCCCTGCCAGCATCCTGTGCTCTAGGGGCCCTCACCTGGCTGCCCGGGCCTGGGTCCTGTGAGCTGGCCCAGTGCTCTCACCAAGGAGAGCCGTGACCAACCACAGGAGTCAGCAAAGGGGAGCAGAGCTCTCCAGGTGGCCCACGACCAGGTGAGTGTGTTTTCATGACAATGAACTCCGTCCTCGGCCATGGTGTGCATGTGGCTATAAAGCAAGCAGTAATTAGATCTTGCAGCATTTAACACAATCCCTCTGTTGCCTTCACTTACCAGCTCTGGACGGGAAAGAAAGGCAGACCATTCCCACTGAAAAATGTAGGCGTCTTGACTTTGAGCCTTGTGTTTGGCCTAAGCCCCCAAAGCACAAGACAGCCAAGGCGAGAACATTCTCTCAGGGTCCTGGTTGCCCACCGATCCCCTGCAATTACATGGGGGATGCGGATGGAAAGGGCTCTGGAGAGAGGAGATTCATCCTTATCATATCGGAACACACATTAACAACCCAAAGCTGATGGAAAATGGAGCAGCAGTTAAAATAAACTATGCATTAGTATGAAAATTTAATTAACCTATCAGAAAAGCATGGAAATCATCACAGACACATGCACACACACAGGAATCTATGCAAACTAAGCTCTCATTTGATGTTAGTCAAAGCAAATTCAGACTTCCTTTAAGCTATAAACATGTCATCTTGGGCAATTTATGAGGGAGACCTCAGGAGACATGGGAATCATACTTTCATGAAGATTTTAGTTTTAAATGTTATCAAGCCCTATGAAAATGCAGCCTAATATTTAGGTTTACACAGAAATGTCAGTGTTCTCTTTTAGTGTAACTTGATGCTTTTTAATTTACATTTCCACACATTATGCTTCTTCAGTTAAATACATTTTGATAACTGGTAGAAATTGAAATGGTACTAAAAAGTTAAACAACATTTAAATTTTATTAAAATAACCACTGGCTATTTTCTCAATGGACTCTTCCTGACAACTTTAAAAAGCTAAATATCAATTATTCCAAAATTATGACTGACAATTTTTAGTTAAAAAAATGTTATATTTTAGACCAGAGGTTGACTGACTTTTTTGTAAAGGGCCAGAGAGTGAATATTTTAAGCTTTGCAGGCCACACAGTCTCTGTCACGACCTCTCTACTCTACCACTGTAGCATGAAACCAGCCACAGTCAACATATAAACAGATGAGTACATCTATGTTCCAATAAAACTTTATTTACAAAAACTGACAGTGGGTTGGATTTGACCCGTGGGCCACAGTTTGCCAACTTCCAATATAGACTGGACTCTTAACAGTATGGAATCTGGTCTCTAACACATATTGGAAATTAATATTTCAGAGCAAAAAAAGAACTATAAAAAGCAATCCCTTGTATCCAATGTTTCTTGAAGTTGCTATTTTTACAATGAAGCAAGGTTTGAAGGTGTTTCTCCTTTCTTGCACACAGCACATTAACAGGTTTAGTTAATGCTGATCAGAGCTGGAAACAGAGCATGTCCTACGTGTGACTCCAGATGGCTAAAGAGTGTTCTACTTACAAGGGAAGGCTTCATTCGACCAGAATTGGATCTCAACAGGCCCAAGGCACCTTAAAAAGAAAAAGAATCACTCTGTCACTTAAGAGCACAATTGCTACACTCAGCTTCAAAAGGGCACTGAAAAATGCCATGCTTTGAAAAACACACAAAACCCGAAGTAGAGAAAAGCATGATGTCTCCTCAAATGACACAAAAGAATTTGTGTCCACAGGTATAAGGGAAATGAATTAAAATGAAATCTTTAGATCAGGAATGGTAACTAGTTAAATGCCAAAAAGTAACAAAACCCCAAATGGAAAGAAAAAAAAGACAAAAAGGATGATGTAGAGAGCTGGGAGAAGACTGGTCCTATTCAAACGAAGCCCGCGAACACAAGAGCCTCCACAGTGCACACCTGCCTCCAGGTCTGAGCTCATGGCAGGCAGCCCGGGTAGTTATGCTGGACTTCTAGCGCCGGAAGTCAGGACGCAGACAAACATTGCTGCTCTCTGACCCCGCCGCTTACTGTCCCAGGTGACAAGGCCTGCGTGGTGACCTTGGGCTGGCATCCTCATTACAGAAGGCAAACCACTCAAAACCCAAACTCTCAAAGGTTGCCCCGTGAGTCCTTTCTGAAACAAGAGAGGGTACGAATACCTGTCTCAGTTCCCAAAGATTATCACCTTTTTTAAAAAGGTGAGATTTTGATAATGTAGCAATTCAATACTACATTAAATAGCTCATCTGATAATATGGTGAAAAACAGAGTGAAAAATAAAACAGAGGACTGAGAAAGAGCTATGAAATAATTGTTAATTTTACAGCTATATGAACAAATATGTAACTAGTCCGAAAAAGAAATTCATAAACTAAAGTGAGTACTTATATAAAAACAGATGTATACACAGTGGAGGCTTTTTGCTTTTGAGGGACATGGTTCTCCCCATGCCCATCATCAACTCCAACCAGCCTTTAGTACAAATATACTGGTCCCAGGACTTTGGATAAATGTAGACTACAAAAGGGTCCAGACCTGACTCACACCCACTCTCAACGGCTTTGTTCTTTGCAGTCTCATCCTCTCTTATCCCCTAAATCGCTGGAGGGTACCCTTCTAGCCTTGTGTATTTGTTTAGTGTGTCTAATTGAAGAAATACAGCAAACTATACCCAGCAAGTAATGAGTCTTCTGTAAATCCCATTTTGAAAAATCACACTGATGGTTTACGGATTCTGAAGTAATGATGGTGAGGGCTAGGATGAGGCATATAAACTTCGCCTGCTCTTATTCGGCTGGAGTTGGAAAGAGACAGGCATGTACATGTGTTTGCCCTTGGGATGGAGGGATCAGGCCCTCTGGGCCCAGATTGCTCCTGGCTGGTGCTAGAATCTTCCAATCAGGAGGTGGCAAGATTTATTCCCACACCCGCCAGGGTTAAATACATAATTCTATATATTGAAAGCAAACAGGAAAAATTTTTAAGTGAGCTAAAGTTTTAGAGAAGAAAAAAACATTTTAAGTCAGGCCAAATATTGAACAAAAGCTTATAATAAAACAAATTTTATTGAAATAGAAAATATTGAAAATATTTGGTGTTGAAAATAGCTGATTGAAAATATTTATTTTCACCAAAGTCCAGGTGTTAAGCCATTTCTGTGGCATCTTAGGACTCTCATGGCTCTAGCTCCCATACGTGCTAAGGACCCCAACATGTGCGTCTCCAGTCCATTTTCCCCCTGACCACAGACTGGTACATCTGATGGTGAGTCAGTGTCTCCATTTGCATGTCATCAGCAGCTCAAACGTAAAGGGTCCCAAACTGAGCGGCTGAAC